ATAGCCAGATAAACCCCTTTGTTTCTCTAGGACAAACCATTTAGTCTGTCCTTACAGCTGAAAATGTTGCAATGCTTTTCTTGTATTTGAGCTGTGCATGTTTGTTGTTGCAGGAATTCTAAAAAAAAAAAAAATATTTTAGATGATTTTTTCTTCTTTTCAAAAAAATTTGATTCTTGCTATGGTGTTACTTCCCCCTTACAGCTGATGTCTGTTACTGTCCTTGCAGTTACTACAGAAGACAGTCATGAAGCAAAACTCATCCCTTGCCTCCCCATTTGTTTCATATACTTGTCTTCCCATCCTCCAACTTGCTCTTTGTGTTCTGTGAACGTCAAAAATCTTTTTCTAAGCCTTTTTTCATTCCTTGCTACTGATCTGTCACTCAGTATGTTTCTCTGGTCACTGCTGAGGACTGTTGGTACCCTTTTTCCTTCTGTATAACATCTGTACTTTTGACCTGCTGTACAGTGCCACTGTCCTTTCATCATCCAAACTTCTGTATTCAATTCTGGAGCCAGTGCGGTGTTTTTTCCAAGGTCTGATGCACGGTGTCTTGTGTTCTGCAGGATACATCTAATAGATAATTTCAATACAGATATGGAAATATTTGTATTCCTTCTGTCAACCAAAGCTGGTGGCTTGGGAATTAATCTGACCTCAGCAAATGTTGTTATTCTTCATGACATTGATTGCAACCCGTACAATGATAAGCAAGCGGAAGACCGATGCCATAGAGTAGGTCAGACAAGGTACGACTCCTTTTAGTTATACTTGGGTTTTCTTGGAGGCAAACTCTCAAAGGAGGCTAAAAGGACAAAATTTTATGACTAAAAATTCCATTTCAAGCAGAGACTTGTGTAAACTAGCTCTGTGTTTTATGTCAGCGAGGAATTGTAATTGTCTTAGCACATGTAACTGCCAGACCAAATCTTATTTACACTCTCCTCCTTTTTCTAGTTCTCTACAACTCAAATTCTGTAAAATTGTCAAATTTCTGGTACTGGGAACTGTTTCAAGGCAGATCTGAAGTCTTTGGGACTGTTTGGCCAAACTGTTCTCTTCAAGAGACTTCTAAGCTTTTAAGTGCCACCCTATCATAAAGAGTGAAACCACAGAATGTGTTTAATAACAGGTATTTCAGCTGTAATATGGAATTAGGGGGAATTTGACTTGTTTGTATGAATAGAGATTTTTGTGACTGTCCAGACTTTGCAGTGGCTGAGAGTGCAGGATAAAACTCGTTTTCTGGCAGTACAGGGCACAGTTGTTCCAGACAGAAAAACTAGGAGCTCTTTGTATTGCCCTTTCATTCGTTTCCTCATCCTTGCTTTAAACCACTGCCAGCAAAGGCATAGCATCCTTCCCTTTTGCACTGATCCAAAGAAAATATAAAAACGGATTTATCCTATTTTGTGGTTTTCAGAGAAGTAAAAGTCATAAAGCTAATCAGTAAGGGGACTATTGAAGAATCCATGCTCAAAATCAGCCAGCAGAAATTGAAGTTAGAACAGGATATGACTGCAGCAGATGCAGGTAGGTGTCTTGCACATAATGATGTCCCCTTAAGTAAATTAGGGCTACTGCAAAATATTATTCTGAAAAAAGAAGGTTCTTGATGCAGACAAGCCTTTTGTTGTTTTTTTTATGTTAAATTAGAAAGATGTATTTGTGCTGATTATTATTCGATTTGACAGTAAGTGCCCTGTAAGTCTGACCCAGAAATCAGTGAAAAAGTCCTTTAAGCAGAGGATTTCCTTTTTTTTTTTTTTTTTTTTTTACAGTCTTGTGGAATGTAGACCTTTGTCTGTTTATGTGAAATATTTTAAACTCTACTCATATTTGTTTTTATTCCTCAGGAGAAGAAGGAACCATTCCAGCAGATATAGCCACACTATTAAAAGCTTCGTTGGGTCTCTGAAATGTAAATATGTTGTGAAATTCAAGGAAAGGTGATGATGTACCCCAAGGATTCTTACCTTTCTGATGACCAGGAGTTTTATGAACATTTATAACTTTTTATAGTTTCTTTATTGTATTCCTCATGGTATTGAAAATTTTTAACACTGATAGCATTCTTAGGATGCTTAAAAACATAAATGGCCCAAATGGGCCAACAAGAGATGCTGAATAAACATTATTTTACAGATCACTTTTCAAAATGGGGACCTAAACAGTAATTGTTTTAACCAATCTGATACAGCTTAAGATTTGTCAGTATTTTTGTAATTATTTCTACCTCTAAATATATATATATATATATAAACTGTCTGTTTCACTGGATTCCATGTGTAGATTTTTTTATATGTGCCTTATTTGACAATGCTCGAGTCTGTTTGTTTCTGCTTGTTTGGGTTCATTCGATGTACCGTACTGGTTTTGTATCAACTTGTTCCAATAAAATTCCATAGATTGACAAAATATTTTCATGGTTGTGGTTATTTGAGGTCGGTTGGGGATGATAACTTGCATGTTATAAATCAAATAGACAGCTTTCAAACTTGCTGAAATGTTCCATTTGAACTGACTTGGCTTTATCCAGCACTGGTTAATTACTGATGTTTCATTATACTCTAATCACAGTGGTGTTAGTATGTTGATTGTATAAACAGAATTCTTGCCAAATGGAACTTTCCAAATTGTAATTTTTTTTGTCAGTCCTTGTTGTAGATACATGATCTGCACTCTGACAACAAAGTGTTCTAAACACAAAGTTTGTCTTGCTCTCTTCTTGAAGTTTCAATGAATTTCGAGTTCATCTCAGTGAAATGAAGAGCCTCAGGGGTATCAATGATGAGGTGTGCTTCCACCTGAAGTTTATAATTTGCCAGCAAGGATGTGATTTGAGGAGGTAGGAGAGGAGCATGTTCATTGCCCTGGACAGAAACTTTTTTTTTGGTTTTTTGAACTCGAGTGGTTGATTCAGACTTCTTCTTTTTAAAAAGCAATGGGGGAAGGCAAAGTATGGCGGAGTTCTTACTGCCCCTGCCCTCTGTCAAAGCCTCAGCTGCTGTGTGGTCTGTGCAGAGCTCAGCAAATCTGTACCAGGCTGAACCACTCAGAGGATTGCATCTGAGATTCATTCTGGTTTGCAATATAGGTTTGATAGTTAGTTACCCCTTTGCTAGATCTGGTTGTCACAGTCAAAAGACACTTGTTTCATCTTTTGAAGGCACTTAAACAGTGTTCTATGAAGAGGGAGGGAAGAGGAGCTGGAGTCCATCATTGCTCAGTTTTTCAGCCTGTCTTTCAGATACTGTGCTTGTGATAAGCCAACGAGGTGATCTGTGAGTTGGACATGCTTTTTTTTTTTTTTTCATTTGGTCAAGGCTGTGGGTATTTTTGTGGGTATTTTGTGGGTGGTTTTGGTCAACTGTGCATTATTTCTGCAAATTCAAAATGGATGAAAGATAAATCCCTTAAAATGTTTTCGAAGTTTGAACTAAACCGCTTGGCTTTTCCTCGAAATATTCTGTGCTGTGCTTTATGTTCCAAAATGCACAGCTGAAATAGAGTGAAGAAATACTTTATTATATGGGAAAGGAGATGGGTAAGAATCAGTTTGTCTGCCATGCTCCTATAATTTCACTGGTTCTCTTGGACTAGATAGTGGGATTTAACAGACAACCACGGGTGTTTAATGCTACAATTAAGGAGGTTGCCTGTTTCTGTCGAGCATGATGCGAACCCAACTCTTAGCCCATTGTATTTGCATATTCTCACCTGTTTGGTTTGGATGTGAATTGAAACAAAATCCCTGCCCTTAGGGTGGTTTTTGTGAAGTTTTGGATGTATATGGAATCAGTTAATGTAGTCTGGCTGAGCAGTGGTTACTTCTCAAACAATCATATCTGTAGACCCCCAGGATCAATATCTGTCTTTAAGTGCTATGAAGCTCATATGTGTTTCTGCCTTTTTTAATTTATTGTAACTATTTCTACCCTCTTTAATTTAGGGTCTCAAGAGATTGTAGAGTCACCACCCTTGGAGTAATCACAAGCTGTCTGGATGCAGTCCTGGGCAGCTGGCTCTAGGTGGCCCTGCTTGAGCAAGGGGTTGGACCAGGTGACCTCCAGAGGTCCCTTCAACCTCAACCATTCTATGATTCTGTGTCTCTGATTGGGAAAGATGTCCAGAGGGAAAAAACCAAAACCCACCATGATCTGAGGTCAGTTGCTGAAGAAGAGAGGAGATGGGAGCTGAAGAAGGAAAAATCTGTAAAGAGCCAGAACAAAGTGTGCAAGGAATTGCAAAGCAGGTGAAGATGCCACGTTGGAATTAGCTAAAGATTGGTTCTTGCTTTCTGTTCTGCCAGTACCTTACCTGTCTCTGAACTGTTAGTGGTTGGTTGGTGTCACTCATGATTCAATGAAATAATACAAATGGTGGGAGGGAAAAGCAAGCATGAACAGAAATACTTTCCCAGCAGTGGCCATTTCCAGCCCAGAGGATTGCCCAGATTTGTTGTGGTGTATCTGCTTATATCACACAGTGTAGTCCTCGTGCAAGCACTTGTCTCCCCTTGAGTTTGTGTAAACTGCTTGCACTTAACGACCATCCACATTGTCAGGACTTCCACCCACCTTTTCCCTAGTCCTGGAAGAATGAACTCTTCATTTGTTCTAAACCTGGTTGCCACCACTAACCCCCAATTTGTGTCTCCTACTTACTGAAAGAGACACTGAGCTGTTGATTATTGTTGCAGCAGGTGTGCTTACGGAAAACTGGTGCTGATGTGGGCACCACCTCAGCTGAACAGCTGCTTTTTTGGGTTGTTTTGGAGGTTTTGGGTGGGTTTTTTTCAGTAGCAGAGCATAAACTTCAAGCTTCTCAAACACTTTCTATAGTCTCTTGAATTTTATTGACCAAGTGGTCAAAATATTGTTGAGATTGCACTTCTCCAAGAAGGTTTATTCATCTCCATTTGAGAGTGCTAAAACATTAATTGGTTTGATCAAGCACTGTATTTAGTAGAGGGGGAATGTGATTGAAACCACACCTCTTCAAAACAGTATTTATTACTCTACCAAATCAGTGTTTTAGATTCTCCCCCAGAAAAAGTGGTAGGTTTTGATTTGATGCAGTGTACCCATCTGAAGTTAACATAAATGATTCTGGAGTTAATAACTTAGGATGCTTGTCACATTGAAAACTAAACATGTATCTGTTTTTCTGAACAGCTGATCTACATTACAGTCTTCGGTCTTTTCTGGATCCAGGCTGCAATAGCTGGAAGTGCTTGCACTCTCTCTTTGAGAGCCAAAAGCCTGGGGTATTTGTCTGCCAGGTCAGGTTTACAGGTCAGAAGTGTTGTACTGCACACATCCCAGTAGAAATCGGCCCATGTTACCTAGTGGAAGTAGGAGAAAAAGCAGTAAATTTTCGTTGGTTATCTCAAAACCTGGAACTGCTAGTATTCTCAAAAAACTGCAGAAATGAAACGTGGATTTATCTGTTTTACTTAAGTTGTTGATTTGGCTTTTTTTCTGAAGCCCATCATTATAAAGTAGTAATTAGGTTGTAATGCAAGGCTTGACTTCAGTAAATATTGATTAAAATAAAGCTCTTGCTACAAATATTACTAGTATTAAAATATTAGTTTTTCCTGTTGAAACTGTGCTGCAGAAAAGTGTTTAAAACAGTTTTGGGTAAAAAAGGATATTATGTTTTTATAGAAGTTTTTTTCATATTATTTTCATAAGTTGGTCAGTGATTATAAACAGAATGAGCTTCTGTTCACTAGTACAGAGGCTTTTAAAATGTTTTGTGTTAACGTTCTTATGAACTGGTTTAGAAAATGCAGATCTTAGTCCTGGTGAGCCTCACTTTTGCAATGGTATGGAAAACAATTTTCGCTTTGCAATTGAGCGACCAATTGTGTGTTGGTAAGAATAAAGAGTTAAATGTGTGGGAGAGTTGTTTCATGGGCTGGCATGAAACAGAAATTCAATTGCTTTCTGGCAACCTGATTGGAATGGGAGAAACAAAAATTATACTTACAGAATTCCCTACCAGCCAGTTTTTATCCCCTAAGAATGTATCCAAGTCTTTCAGTAACTCAGGTGCTTTGTTGGTGAGGATGTCATCAAATGCTTTTTTCTGGAGGAAGAACAAAACATAGAGATGCAAACCAATGTGTAAGCACAGCAGCTGACAAAACTGAATATTGGGGGTGGGGGTGGGGGTATTTGTGAAAAAGGAAGCTGAAATGTGAAAGATTAAAGTTGGATGCCCAAAACATGGCATTCATGGCTCACTGAGCCATGACTTAAAGCCTATTGCTCCCTTAATGAAAACCTGAGAGCTCCTCAATGCTGAGACATGATGTCTGGAGTGATGCTGCTCCTTTTTTGTACTAACAGTCACCCAGCCATGGCAAGGCAGGAGCCCTGCCATAGATTTGGGAAGAATCCAGCTGCAAAATATATTCCCAATGTCTCACAGTCATTTTTGGGGGGACTCTTGAATGTCATGTTTTCTAGTGTACAGAGTTTCAAATTTCCAGAATTCCTTAAGCTCAGTCTTTCCATGCTGTCAATCAGATGCTGATCAGTTACCTGTCCTTACCAGCCCATCTCATGTGAGATGTGGAACCTGGGTTTTCAGCTTTTACTCAGGTTTATCTTTGAACTTTAATGTTCAAGTTATTCTGCTTTTTATTGTCTCTGCAACAATAAGATTTGAGGTGGCTAACGTGTTTTTAAAGGATGAAGTATGGATCAAAGGACTCAGGCCTTAGTATGTGCATGTCAATGGCTGAAGCATGAGGTTATGTATGGTGGTGGTTCTCTGCTAGCTGTTCCACCATAGCAGAAAGTTTTAAGGCTGCTTTTAAAGGGTTAAACTGTTTCCTTTGGAGAGGGAAACTGTTTCTGGTTTTCTCTTCTCACTTGCAGGGAAACAAGAGTGCAGACTGTTGTGATCATCTGGTCAACCCATGTGGCACAGTTCGTGCAGTTAATGTGCTTGGCCTAATTTTGGAGGAACATACTCAGGCTTGGTTAAATAAGGACTGTTGTACAGGCGTGGAATTATTTCTATAGCTTTGAAATTCAGGTTAATGAAAAAAAGAATAAAATTTAGAAGAGGCAGAAACCTAAATGCAGGCTGAAATAAAAATGGTTTTTCTACAGACACTAGTGAAAACTTGACAGAATTTTCTGCTGTCTGTTAAGAACTTAGTAACTGGATGAGGTGACTACAAATATCACCCACAAGTTTGCAGTCCAGAAATCTCATATCTGTACTCTGTGCTGCAGTATTTCCTTTCTTTTAGGTAAGTCATCCTCCACCCCACCCTTCCACCCCACAAAGAAAACCCTAAACTGTTATGTGATAGTGGTGGTAATGACCTCCCCCAACTACAGGAGTACACAGTCAAGCTGAGAAGCTGGTGAGGATAAGACCGGGATCCCCCTTCTGGGGTGGCACAACCTTTTCGTCTCAGCCCTGGAGCTCTGCAGCGGTGTGTGACAAAGCTGTGGCAATGCCAGCTGTGTTTTTGGGGAATGTAAGGTGAAGGGAGGCTGTGTCTGGAACCAAGGGAGCTTCCATGGGCAGCTTCCACCTCTGCTCCCTATACCTTGCTTTAATTTCTCTTTGCTACTGTCTAGATAGCATAGCACATCCTTTCACCTTTCTGAGGGATTTGTGTTCCTGTAAGCACTTGTCAGGCCTGGGGAGGTGTTCTGACTTTATTTAGTAAGGGTAAATGACCTAAATCTGGCCTGGCGAGACCGTGAGATGCCACTTCTGCCACAAGGTGGTGGCAGTGGACCTGAGAAGAGAGAGGGAGAACAGCCACCAGGGAGAAGAACATTGGGAGAGTCCAGCAAAGTAAATTTCTTGATCATCCTTGGCCCCAGCACACAACCTTGCATGTATACGTGCGTACGGGCAGATAGGGGTTGCCTGCCAACTCTCTTCCCTTTTAAATTAATCACTGGTGACATGATCTGGGTCTTTGATTTGGAGAAGTGCTTGAGTACGAGCTGGGACACACGCAGGCATTACCACGGGCGTTTCCCCGTGGAGGAGCAGCAGTGCTGTGGGAGTAGTGCTGCCTCTGCACTAGTATGTGAGCAATAGTGTGGCTGTTCCAAAATTATTAAAATGCATGATTCAACTTATCCTGCCCAAAGTAGGAAACTTAGGAAATCCCGACGAAATTTAAGTAATTCACGCTGTTAAATACTAAACCACTAAACACACTTTCAGGTTTTCTTCTACTAGATTTCAGAGCATTTTCATTTTTTTTTAAGTATTTATTAATTATTGGTTTGGGGCAACATTATGTACTCCGTGGTTTCTGTAGTACAATACCCTAGTTGATCTGAAATGTTACCTTTAAGTAAATGGAAGGTGACTGCACTGGTAGGTAGTTCATGGTGAGGACCTGTTGTTACACTACCACTTCCCTAAAAAGGTCAGATCATCTGCTTGGGTCAGAGCTGTGTGGAGCCATTGTAACATCTGAGTTGACTCATCCACCACACTCTTTCCCCAGCAGCTGATCTGCATGCTTTCCTTTGGGGTTCTGATGAGAGGCACTGGACTAATGCCAAAAAAAGCCCCAAATGCTGTAAGGCATGTCCATGAATGTGTGTTAAAATAGCCATGGCAGTGTGTTAGCCTGCTGTCAGTATTTGCAGGAGCACTGCCAAGGGCTGAGGTGGGCCATGGCAGTCTGAAGAGGACAGCTGCAGTGACAGTGAGGGATGTGCCACCTCCTCTGTTAAGCAGCGCCCACTCTCCTACACTGTTCTGGGCACTGCAAAGCAGTTGTCCTGGCAGCGGATGTTATGGAAGACCGATACTGATTGAAAACCAGGAAGATATCAAAATGCAGAAGTGCTAAAAGATGGGATGGGGCTGTGAGTTAGCAGAAAGATAAAGATTTGAGCCTAGGTGGTTTGCGACAAGAGCGAGGCCTCGCACAGTGCCAGCTGGAGTGGAAGTGTCCTGGCTTTCCCCTTTTGAAGAGCAGTTTCGTGTACACACATATGGTGTCCTTGATTCAAGGTGAAACAGTGAGAGGCAGATCATGATGGCCTCCTTTCCACCAAGGATGGAAAAATCTGGTGAAATAGGACAGGGAAGAGAGCAGGCAGCTTTGTCTGCATTAGCCTCTAGGAAGAACCAGAGAGCTCCTCCAGCTCATCTTTGCTGAGGTGAGGTGATGGACCCAGTGGCTGACACACCTCAGTGTCTCCAGAGGAGATGATCAGTCATGGCTTATGTACTATCTTTGTTTAAATTAGTGATTGTCTTACTCTCACGTCCTGGTTTTTCTCTGCCCAAGGGAACAGTGTCATGAAGTCATCTATGGTGTCCACAATGGCATCAGCTAGTGCCTGTTCCACAGGCGTCTGACCTGCCAGACCTGTGGGAAGCAAGCATATAAAGGGAGTTTAAGAACAGTGTCAGCAGGAACTTTTCATACCCCAGGTAAACTCTGAATATTTTCATAAAAATACCTATTCTCCAAGATTATTTTTTTTTATACTAACAGCATGGATTTGACTCCTTGCATCCAGGTGCAATCTCATCTACCTTTGCTTTTTTTCTTCTCCAGCTTCATACAGCCATCTGATGTAGTGAGTTGTACTTTCCATCACCTGAGCCCACAGCCTAAATATTGTTTTTTTATCCTCTCTGCTTTCCACCATCCCAGCACATTCAGTGAGGGTCAGCACAAATTCCTGTCCACTAATCTTACCCTATCCAAGATTTCAATGTCATTCTCCATCTCATGGTCTTTTCATTTTGATCAATGCATTCTTCGAAGCATCTATGAAAGTCTGCTTCTCTTTCCCTCTACCCTGCCCATTCAGCCCCATTGAGAACATTCTCATGACATTCCATTTGCTTTTAATTATTTCATTGTAATCAGGTACCTTATATATACTTCATCTTGTTTACAAATCTGCTTTTCCCCCCTGTTGTCCTTTGGCCTTCCTGCAGTTCTCTTAATGCTTTTTCCCCCCTCACTTTCATTTCACAGATGTGCATTCATGCTTTCACCTCTGCAGGTTCAGGTCATCCTTCTCTTCCTCTCTGTTCTTTAAGCCTCACCTGGAAGCTCTGCTTCCCACAAACTGTACACCTTTCCTCTGCCAAGTCATCTCCCTTACTGAAACTCTACTTTTGAAGGTGAGGGGTGTGCCTCTTCTTTTGGGAATCAAGTTCTGGGAACCTTCAATTAAGAGTTGTTGGTGACAGGTACCTAAAAATGTCGTTTCTTAAAATATCAGTGACATGTATGCAAACTTAATGGCAGAACTAGCAAGTTTAGACTATGATGTTGAAAATATATTTTTCCCCTTCTATGCTTGTTTTTTTTTTTTTTCTGTTGTAGCTGACAGCATGACTAACACTGAAAAGAGATCAGCATGGTCTGAGTGTGCTCCAGATCCCAAGCCTTTGTATCCAATGCAAGTCGATGGAAAAGGTGTCAGGGGAATGCGGAAGTCAGAACTTCAGACTGCATAAGGAGCACAGCTCCAGCCTCCCAGCAGGAGACAGGGAGGAAGGAAGCGTGGGTGAGAGGCAGGCTTTCTCATTGTTTTTCATTACCAAGTGGACTCTCATCATTCTCTTCTCTTGCAAGGAGTAGATTGTATCAAGGCTGAAGGAAATTGGCAGGAACACAGTACTGCAGACATGCTTGAAAATATGTTGTGCTATTGCCTAGAAGAATAATGCTCTGAACTAAAAAATGTGAGGTATTTTGAAAGGCAGGTTACATCCCTTTGCTCAGAGTGTGAAAAAAGTAGGATAGCACTTGCTACCCAGCACCCCTCTTCAATCTGCTGACATTCAGCATACCATGGGCACATCTGCCTTCAGCCAGACCAAATTTGCAGATGGTTTTGAATGAGAGCTTGCTGACCTAAAGCAAAGCTTGGCTACTCTCTTTGATTACTTGCATTACTAAGTCTTATATCACTTTATCTAACTGGTTGAGTACTTCCATAGCATGTAGGTATTTAAAGATGCAAGTGATGTCACCATCTGCTCTAATCTCTCTGCCAGCGCAGAATTGTTGCCTAAATCTGCTTCAGAGTGCTCTGCCTGCTGTGATAATCTCTAATGCTTCCAAAACCTCCTTCTCCTGGTCATCTCTCTGGTTAACCTGGCAGCTCAAAGTTTAACTTCAGGGGAAACTGCCCTGAGAGCCTTAGGGAGGCCACAGGTATGCACTTTCTGTCATGCAGTGGCAGGTGAATAAAGTTTATTGGCTGGAGAAGTCAGTCCAAACTCCAGGCACTGTATCCAGAGTGGAAACTCAATCAGACATGGGAGAGATTATTTCTGAGTTTTCCTTTAGGCATACACACTTACAGTGCAAATTCAGAGCTCAACCACATGACTTCAGCTCTGAAAGTCATAGCATTTCACACTAGAGGTTGTTACTTTGAACCTTTTTTTGGTCTCCTTTTTTACTTTCTATATGACATCTGAGTGACTCTAAACCCTGTTGTACAGCACCCTAGTGGGTGTGCCTTGCTCCATTTCTTCTTTCTGATCTTGGAACGGCAGGGAACGTAGCCTGAGATCTCATCAGGATTGCCACAGCAGTCCCAACCCAGTGAGCCCGGTTGTCACCAAACTGTGGTAAGGAAGGCTGCTGAAAGTGGCCATGCCACCACACAGTGCTCCTCAGTGCTTTTTTGAGTGGCAGCTCTGATAGCATCCTGTGTGGTACACTGCATTCCTGTGGTCAGCACTTGGTACTGGCAAACTGCAGATGCAACAATGGGCTGATAACTATGAGCTGGAAAAAGCACCAGTACCGTGATTGCCATGCTGGTGTTGACTTCTGTGTGGTTGGGCTTGCCAAGTTGTTGATTTGTTTTTATTTTCACTACTGATGTATTTTTTTTCCTGAGCATTAAAGAAAGAAAATAGTTGAGTATCTTACCTGATTCTCTGGCAAGGTATCTTGCCATTGCCAGGCTCTGGTGAATGATAACTCCATCTACTTCCAGAATAGGGAGTTTGCCAAACGGGATAGCTTGGAGGAGAAAGTAAAAAAGGAAAAAATAAACAACCAAAAGTTAAATCATAGCCATTAACAGTGGGAGTCTTTGACAGCTGCACTTTTACCACTCGGAGGGTATGCATTGTTATAGCACTTAACAGTTTCACAGTGTTTCTGTAGGGAAATACGTGGACTAAAAATAAAAAAGTAAGGGGTAAGGATGTAAACCAGATTGCAGTTTATGAAGGCAACTATAGCAAAGAAACCAGGCATTGCATTTCCTATGCCCTAGCCTTGTGCTGAAGAGGCTGAATGTGCTCCTATACTTCCAGAATTCTTTATGTAGGGAAATTTTTCAGAGGAATATTAGTTTTTCCTTCCCTGCTTTCCCCCCACCCCAAGAAGAGTGACCACCAAGGTTAAGTAAAGTAATACTGAAAACTTTGTAGTGCAGGATCCAGCTGGAGCATGAAGTAAGAGATTGGGTAAAGACTACAAGGTGCTTTTTGATTTTCACTTGTTTTAAATTCAGAAGCAGTGATTCAGGGAAGCATCCGCATTTCTGAACTTACATTGTGATGAGACATTTCATTTGACAGTCATCACTGAGACAAATATATCTTTTACACTGAACTGCAAATGCTAAGAAGGTAGTCAAATTTAGTTGACTTGGCTTGCATTCAAAAAAATTTCCATCAGTTGTGAGGAAGAAGCCTCCAGACTTCAAATATAGGGAAAGAAAAACTAAGCAGATGTCATGGATATCTGTGAGACAGTTTGAGATAAGAAATCAATCTTATTTTTCAGTTATTAATTTGGTAGTTATGTGAAAACTTGGAATTCTGTTTTGCTATGTTTTGGAGAAACTGCTGGCATGATATCAAATGGGGCTGGAACCTTGGAGCAAAGATTAATCTGGGAAAAATGGTTGTGTTTAGGGCAGTGAGAATCTGCTTGTGGGAACCTGGTGCTATTCACTGGAGGAACTGTAAGTCTCTGCATCTCAAAGGATGCTATTTTATAAATTCCAAGTATGTGACTGCAAGTGCTGATCATAACTAAATGGTTTGTACCTGATTTTCATCTGGATTGCACTTCATGTAAATAAGATCTATATTCACCTTAAGAATTCATTGTGATGTAAAATGGTGGTAGTGAAAAAGTGAAAACATTGACTATTGGAAACGTGCAAGTTGCTTTCAAACCCAGGAGAACTGCCTGTACGGGACAGCTGGAATGACACCTCCATTCCATGAGGATTTTTAGTTCTTAGTGAAAGGGGCAAAATAGTGAAACCTCATGCATTAGTAACTGTTTATCAAGGCAACTGCATAAATGATGAACACTGCCACGTGGCTCTGTGGTTTAGCATGCAGTATGTGAATCACATTAGGTACGGGATCTTAGATGTTAAATCTGTATCTGCAAAATGAATTTGGCAGTTGCACAAGACTTCTCTGTGCCTTTTTTTTTTTTTTTTTTGCTGCATCTGAACACAGTACTCATGATACCTTTTTTTTTCCTAAGTTCAGCACACTAGGAAGCCAGTATAAATTTTGATGGTGATGACTAGCAGAAGCAAGAGAGCTCAATGAGCGTTAGCTGCTGCCCCCAGGGAGAAAGATTGCTCTGCTAGCTGTTATTGAAACAGTAATAAACTTGTTGCATAGAAGACTTTGTACGTTTATTTTCTGGAGTGCAACAAGATCCTGGCGAGTCTATGTTTTGTTTCATTGAGAATCTAAAGAGGAAAGGATGCACCTCTTAATGTTTAACTGAAAAGCTCTCTGGCTGTGAAAATGAGAAGAGCCTTGGTGCTGCACTGTGGATTAATTGTGCAGAGTGTCCTGAGCATCGCTGCCTCCAAAGCAAGAGCTGTGTAATAATGTTTGCTTTTGCAGGATACCAGCACATCTGTCAGGCAGGCACAAGTAGAGGAATGAGAGTGCGTGTGACCCTTGGACATGCCAGCGTGGGGGCCACCTTCAGATCCCCCCAGACCACACGGGGCTGTACACTAGTGCCTGGCAACAGATAACAGGTAACCGCACAAGTGCAGCCAGCTCAGGAGCAATATCAGCCACCCCTGAAGGGAGTTAATCAGCCTGTTTTGGAGGCCCCAGGAGGAGTGCCATGGAGCTGATGCAGTTTTGGTCAGGTCAGTATGACTAAGCCAGTCTCTGTAGCAATAACTGTCAAAACACGCTGATCGCTACTCAGGTTGGGAAATGGTGATTGCTTCATCTAGAAACCAAACAGACCATTTTCTGCTGTGTTTACATACAGGGGAAGTCTAAAAGTCCTGGCTTTGACTGATGTTTCACTTTGTGGGTCAGTACAAGAAAAATGGTTTCTATGGTTATCTTTCTTTCTTTTTTTTTTTTTTTAAGAAACCCTTGGTTACAAGGGAGGCATCTTTCTGTCACTTGAGGAACACGGATTATGGTGTCAAAATCAGCTGGATGGTAGTCATTTCTCATATTCTGTTTCTCAGGGATCTGGTAATTTCTGAATTCAAGGGAATTGCTATTCATTCCTTGAAAATATGAGTAATGCCTACAAAGGTCTTCCTCCTCAGTGCTGAGCTATTTTCATTAAGACTTGGTTATTCTTCCCTGAAAAAGAAACTGAGTTTACAATTAAAAATGTACAAATAAAGCTTTGTTTTGTGTACATACACTTTCTTGATGCATAATGCAATTCTAAAATTAATAAATGAGAGCAGATTTTATTGCACATTGTCCCTCAAGCCTTAAATATCCAAAGGATTTATGCTTTGATTCATAATGAGACTTGGGGGGGGGTTGTTAGGAGGCAGCATATCTATTGCCATAGTAGATGTTCCTTCCTTTCCTACGCTATTTAATTTTTTCTTATAAAGAACAGGGGGAAGATTATGATTTGAAAATAAACAGATTTTTTTCTTGCTGGTAGAGTGTATGTATATGATTTACACTGACTTTTGTTGATTATTGAGTTAATAAGTTGTAAATGAGTGCAATTCTGAGAGGTCTGAAGAAAGTACCCTTGTGATTTTTTTTCATTTTAAAAATCTGCTTTTTCTTCTTGTGTGCAGGGTATACTATTCTTGCACACCAGAAAGTACAGCAGATATTCAGGCAGTTTTACAGCTGAAGAAAATAACAAGGAAAAGTTAAGGGACAGAAAATATTTATAGTACATATCCTCGATATCTGAGTAGATACAATGGCTTATAAAGTTGCATTTTCGGTCTGGAAAAATTTAGGGAAAAAAACCAACCTTGCATTTGAAACATTATTATCGAAAATTCATGGAATCACCAAAATTTTTAGGAACCCACAGTAAAGTATTTTTTTGCTTTTGTAACTTAAAAGAATAACTTCCTATATTGATAAACTCATAGCAAACCCAGGAGATTTTTTTCTATATATAAGTTTGGCTGTTGTGGGCAGGAATGCATTCCCTGTGAAAATTGGAATCTTCCTTTTCCAACTAGAGAAGGAGATGGATTTGTGTCACACAGTTCATCTTAAGGAAGGATGCAAAAAGCCTTCACAGTGGATGGACACAGTTCCATTGCTGGAGGCAAGGTCAGCGTTTGACAAATGACCTCAAAGTGGCCTCGGGACACCTTGCCTGTAGCAAAAACCACATCCAGACCATATTCTTGGGAGCTCCAAATTACAACAGAAACCTGTCTGGTTTCTGTACTGGTAACACTGTATTAAGCAGTATTACCCTTAGACTCATGGACATGGGTTTCTGTGCCTTGCTTTGAGCTTTCTGTGGTGCTTTTTGCTCTACTCTGCTCATTGACATTACGTGTTCAAGGAGCCTTGGGGGATGCCCGAATTGCCTGTGTGTATAAACATTGTACTAAACCGGTTAAATTTTTCATGATTTTGGTGAAAGGCATGGTTGATGTGACTCCAGATAAGCAGAGCACGTAGGTTGGTTCCTTCCAGGCTCCTACATTCGACGAGGATGGGAAAAGCTGGTGTGTGAGAGGGATCTCATTTGGGTAGAGTCAGAGTCATGGGGGCACATCATGAAATGACACGTACTGCGGAGCAATTGTAAATGAACAGCTAAGCCAAAGCAGTGCAGACTGGAAGGATGTGCGTGTCACTTTGCTAGTTTTTCTTTGACTCTGATCGGTTAGGGGGCTGTTTAGTGCTTACGTCAGTTTATACCCTTGTGTATCCATACGGATGTCCTTTCCATGTTTTTCAAAACAGTGTTGTCTTATAATGTTTCCAACTCCCACTTGAGCAAATAAATTTTAAGGAAAACCAGAAAAACCTATTGCTGTCATCATACAAACAGCGTCATTTCTCAGGCATGCACAAAATATGGCCTTGCCCTTTTAGTTCCCTCTTGCTTTGTTGCTCATCTGAAGTAGAAGGTGCTATAAATGCTTGTGTTGGTTTCCAAATTTACATTGAAAACTCACTGAAAAGAGGAACAGGGTTTTTAAAAAGCATTCTGTTTAAATAATTAAACCTGTAGTCTTCTTTAAATTGAACTTTTATCAGCAAATTCTTGCTTTTCCTATTATGTCAGTTATTTATTGGGTTTTTTGCATTGCATTCTGACAGTCTTTACACTCACCCTCTGTCAAGATTTTTTTCATGGGGAGTGTAAATTCATCAGACTGATCTGCAGTCTCTCTTCTCATTTTAGGAAGGACTCATTGAAGTATCTGTGCCATGTTTAGAAATTGGATTAATTTCTTTCTATACTACTTTAGTTTTGATTGGCTTTTAGGACTAGAACTGTGGTGTTTATATGTGTCTCTGCTGGATGCTAAGTTGGGAAGGTGAGGCTTGATGTGTGTTACAAGCAAGGGCATCTGTTTAATTTGACATCCCATAAAGTCCCTAAGAACTGTAATAACAATTCCCATCCTGGCATGCCTATAGGTTCTCAATAGTGTTCATAAGGAGAACACACAAGTTCATGTTTTGAACACACAAGCTCCTCGCTCATCCTCCTGGGCACAACCCAGTGGATGGTGCTTGTGTGGGACTGTGTCTCTGTCAAGGGCGGGG